TCTCTTTCTTGGCCTAATGTTTTTAGAACTGATAAAGGTACTGAGTATTTAGCTGAGTGTAAAGATTTATTATTAAGGCATGGCGTATATTTCGATCCCAAAAAATCTAAAGAAAGCAATGCTATAGCAGAGCGTGATCATCAAGAATTTGAAAAACATGCTTTCGTTCGTCAAGATGCCATAGATTTTCATTTACCTATGTCTCATAGGTCTAGAGCATGGGTTAAAGGTCTTCGTATTAATTATGACATTTATAATGATACTCCTACTCGTTTAATTCATATGTCACCTAATGAAGCTGTAAAAAAAGCTTTAAAAGGTGAAAAAATAATTGCTAATCCATCTGTAAAACATCGTAGACCTATTGGATTTAATGAACCTCGATTAACTTATAAAGATTCAATTTTATATTTACTAGAACCTGGTGAGTTAGAATTTGGTAGACATCGCATAACCGACATGAATTGGTCGTCAAAAGTTTATCGTATTAAAGAATCCTTAATACAAAAAAATCAGCCGGTATTATACTGGCTTATGGATGAAAACAGCGATGGACCTGAGAGATCATTTGTTCGTGAACAGCTAATGAAAGTTGATAAGATTGAATATCCACCTAGATGGGTTTTATGAGATCAGTATTAAATTTTCAAACCATGGATTCTTTGAAGTATATCGTTTACCTCTTCATTAGATCTTTTTTCTACAATTTCTCCTTTATTAACTAGTTCTAGATATAATTTATATAATTTTTCCAAACTAATATAAATTTCCTCATTATACCAATCTTTAAAATCTGCCATTCTTTCATTATAGGTTTCCTCATTTGGAGTACGTTATTCTACTACATATCTAATATAATCTTCTGGATCTCTTTTTCGCTGTAAAGTTTTAAGATAATTTATGCATGACTCTTTCCTGGAGAGTGATGACAATTGCCCACAAAGAATTCATCCTTCCTGAGCAAGTGAGTCTTTGTGCCTTAGCAGCTCTGGTTTCTCTTGACATGAAAATAAAAGGAATATGAGGAATACTCGACAAATCAAGGAAAGTCATCATATTAAATATGGAAATATGGATTATTGTATCACCCCAACAATTATATAAGGAATCCCATTGCCTATCAGTTTGCATCAAAAAGGATTACTATACTCATGCAAAAATTACCATGATTACCATTTAGCTCCTAATTTTGGAGAATCTTCTGACCACAATTCCTAAATTTGTGTAAATGATTCCAATACCATATGATTTACTCCAGCTCATTGAAAATCAGGTCTTGCAAACATACAGATATATGCAACATGCTATCCATACAAAAACAGGATTCTCTCCTTAATCTATGCATACTATCTGAGGGAATTATTGGAAGGAGTTATTAACTGAGCATAACAATTCTACTTGAACAAACACCTGACTAAATATCATCTTACTGGATGCTGCTGCACCTATAGTTTCTTTTAAAGGTCTAGAATTGAGCAAATTTGACAAACAAGACATATAACTTTGACTATGATTATCAAGTTGAAGTTCTGTAAATATTAACTCCTTATATATTTGAGCTGATTAATTTTCTTTTTTAAATCTTCTATTTTATTTTTTTGCTATTCTGATTCTTTAGAAAACTTGTTGATAATATATTCCATTAGATCTAATTGTTTTACAAATTCAGTATTTTCTTTTTCTAGTGTTTCAACCTGTATGCATAATTCTTCATTTTTTAAATAAATTGATTGATTAATAAAGGTAAATCTTAATAATTTAGCAATGATTTAATTCTAACCTTTTTCAATATTCTCTTTGGTTTGAGTTTTGGATAACAATTAACTTTTAATATTGATATTTGTGCAATTTCAAATATCAATAATTCAGATAATACAATAGATGCCTTCTTCTAAGCAATTCAACAGCCATAGTAGGGATTGAAGATTTGATACCAGGTGTTACTGAATGAACTGTTGCTACTTTTGATGCAATTGATGTAAAAGAAGTTTGTGATGGCAGAAAAGGTTGTGAAGGTTTTGAAGATGAAGACAGCTATTCTCTATAAAAAGTGTATCCATTTGGTTTTTTTTGTTTAGACATTTTAGATATGGAAAAAAATATTAAATTAAAAGAATATTTAAATAAAATTATTTATATTGTTTCAATACAATTTGAGGTTGTATACAATATTATACTATTATTTATTATATTATATTACAATTTAGAGTCATATACTATATTATACTATATATTATTCATAATATTATACTTATATTATATTACAATTCAAAGTTATTTAATATATCAATCACAAATTTGTCACTTTATATTACTATTTATCAATTTTTCAAATATCAAGAAAGCATTTAATTTTAGCTTTACTTAACGAAAGTTTAAGAAAAAATCCAAAAAAGGGAAAATTACTTGCAAATATAGCAAATATAATGAATCACTTGTTGACCCATGAACAGAATTTTCATATAAATATCAAAAAAACAAAATATGAACATTCAACAAATAAAGAATTCACATTTTGACATATAACGAGAAATATTTTATCAAGTCGAATTATATTATTAAGTAATAATCAACAAATCTGAGATTGAATAATGCAAGTTCTAAAAATGATGAATCTGAAGTTGATGATAATAAAGAAATAGATGATATATTTGGAAATTATTTAGCATTAAAATACGAATTTTTACCAAATTCTAGCAAATTTTCAGATAGTTATTTTATGTGAATTTTGTTATGGATTATGAACTATAGAATTTAATTTAATTTATCAAACAGTGCAATAGATACACTACTAAAATTTATGAAATTGGTGTTAATTGAAATTGATAGCAAAGAATTTGAGCTCTTTTATGAATCTTTGTATACCGCCAACAATAAACTTAGATTATCAGATTAGTTCGTTAGTTTTGTAACATATTAAAGATATCACAAATTGTATAGATAGAATAATGTTCTTGATTTTTAAAAAAACAATAGACTATTGGTCATGAAGTGTGTTCATATTAAATTTCCCAATTCAGCAATAAAACGAAACAAAAACTTGCAATTTTCCACTGTTTACATAATTAAAATTATTAAACGGAAATGTAATTAATTAGTGCAATTTAGTTTTTCCATATTCTACTATTTACAAAACAACTCTTTCCCATTCACCTGTGGCACAGCAAACCCAGGCAACAAAATGTTAAAGAGAAAAACATAGAGAGACCCAAGAGACAACAATATATAACTAGTAGACCGAACTACAATATAGACAAGATATCCAAGGAAAAGGCCACCCTTATTGAAAAAAACAAGGAACAGACACTCAAAAAGAAACATATAGCAACAATTTAAAGCAAAAATGAAAACAAAAAGCAACCCTCTCCTCCCAAAAATACCCCTGCCCTGAACAGAATCACACAAATAATATCGCAACAGCAATAGGTATCAACGGAAACAGCAGCAGCAGCTCTAGCTCATGGAGTGAGCAAGTCGAAAGAGAATAAATCCAAATACTAGCAGATACAGAACATGTAGACATTAATGCAGAACTCCAGACACAGCATACAGCAAGGCTAGATGACTCCGACATCGATATAGATCTCGCAAGGAACCCTCAGAAGCAGAAGATGACTGGCAGATTGCTGGCAACAGCAAGGGAAAAAACAGAAGACCACCGATGTACACCCCTGGTTCAAGACTATGACCCAGGTCACCCTTTGACCCCAGACTCAAATACAGATGGGTAAGAATCAAGTTGGGAGTGAAAGCTTCACTAATCCCTGGTGAAACAACTCACAAGAAGATAAATCACATTACAAAAGCCTTGAACTCCCCAGAAGGTCTCCTCATAATCCAAAAAGAACCTTGCAAAGATGAAGACTACATCATTACCATTTTCAAAGATCAACAAGCAGCAGATGATGCAAGCAACCTTATCTTACCAAATACAGACAATCGCCATTTATCACACATGGAAAAAACCATACACAGGCTCGATAAAGAATGCAGCATCAGAGTATGGAACATTCCCATAAATACAAGGCTCATAGATGTACAACAAACCTTCACCAAATTCAGGCAAATTAACAATATAAAGATGCCAAATAGAAACATGTGGCAATCCGCCACAATCACATTCACAAATAAAGAAGACAAACTCAAACTCCGGGACCAATGGAGTACATTAATCAAAGCACACTCTGTAAGAATTTTTGACGCAGAATAAAACCTCGAACAAATGAAAAACTGGGGCAATCACTCCTTCAAACTTACAAATCTCCCACCTAAAACAAACGCTTTTGACCTCAAACTCATCTGTCAAGAAACAGGGACTAGAACCTGCTACATCCCCCACCTACTATTATACAAACCCAGAAAGTACGCAGTCCTCAGTTTTGAGGATGAAGCCAACCTCCAACAAGCACTTACTAAAACCTTCATACTAAGTGAAACAATTCTCAAATGTAAACTAATCCATATAAAACTTTGCACCATTTGCAATAGCCTACAACACCTTGTAGCAAACTGTGTAATTAAAAAAAGAAGGGAGCAATGGAAGGAATTCAACCAAGAACAAGCTAAAAAATTCAGAAAATTATATTAACGTTACAGACCAACCAACTCAGCACCTATTTGCTGATTAACAAACCCACCTGCCAGGAGGGCCACAACTACTCCAGGATCATATGCCTCAGCTGTAAAAAACAAACATCCATGACAACAACCCCTGAACACCCATCAAGAGGATACTCGGGACATAGCAACCATGCTAGCTGAAATTCAATCAGAGCTCAAGACAATCAAAGAAGCCCTACACAACCTAGATAAAAGAATAGATAGCCTAGAACAATATTGTTTTAACAATGTAGAAGACATGGAGGAAGACCACAATCAAAGCAGTGACAACAGAGTACCCACGACCCAACATACCTCAGACTTGAGTGATATCCAATAGCAACAACAATATTTACACAACTCTATTGGAAATATGGGCAGAATAATGAATGCACTAGTTTCTACTATCACAAACATGATTCCCATGAACACAAGTCATCCCTCTCCCACCAAACAGTAAATATGGAAAATACAACAAGTAATATTTCTATATCAAAAGATTCTACTATCCAATAATTGCAAATACAGCAAGATACTATCAACAATGGGAACCAATCAGATAACACCTTTGACACATACACAAACCAAAAAAACTACAGCAATTTCAATGAAACACAACAAAACAAAATAACCTCCAACACTCAATTAAATATCAATAACAAAACTCCTTATACTTTCAACAATACCGACACATGCAAACAATAACATAAACCTTTTGGACCGTCACCACTTGCAACTGTCAAGGACTTAACAACCCAATCAAGAGAGAACTATGGATGAACTCCTGGGATTACAAAGCATGGAACATTATTATCACAACAGAAACAAAAGGAAAGAACAAAGACATCAAATACTGGAAGACCCAAGGCTACAGTATATGGTGGCACAACAACGATAATATGGGGACAGGTATAGGTATTGCAATCAGAAAGAGCATTGCTGATAGAGTAATTAATATCGAGAAAAAATGAGGAAGACTCATATGCATCGACCTGGTTCTCCCGAAAAAAAGATACTGCAGAATAATAGAA